GACATCATTGCTGCCAATACTTGCTCATGTTTGTCACACTGTGCTAACTATTGACGAGGAGCATGCAACAATGCGTCGTTGTGTATGTATTTAACCAGGCAATGTATTATCCCGCTGTTTTGGCTTGTGCCGGGGGTGCCTCCTACCCTTGCCTGTACCCTTACCCCACTTCTTCTTCGGCAAAGAGGCCACCAGATGCGAACAGGACTATTTTTGGTGGCAGGACGTAATCATTAAGATAATTTTTGTCTTGGGTCAGATAATCTTGGTCACATATCCCCTGTATTTAACTTGCAACTTTATCTAACTGTGCCTCCAACTGCTCAAAAACGTGGTGTCTGGTGATGCTTCGGAAGCGCCCACCCTGCAAGTTTGACACACTTCATGCAAATGATTATTTTTGCTAGCTATCAGAAAAAGACAAAACACCGTCAGAGCATATACTAAACCCTGTCATGCTATCTGTTGAAATATGTTGTTAAAAATATGTGTTGAAAAGTGGGACAAGTATCATGATATTGTAAAAGACATGATTCTGCACCGTACGCCTTGCTGCGCAAGTTTCGGTCCTAGAACAAAACAAAGCGAGATTCGATGAGGACGTCAATGGCTTGTGTGGTCTCGCACTTAACAATGAAAGAATGCTGAAAAATATGACACCGTGGACGGCCAGCAATAAAAACCAAGAGCACTGAATGACTGACGACAACCCAGCCGGCTGGCAGGACACCACCGGCCTGCCGCTGACCGGGGCTCCTCCGGCAGGCGGCCACATCCTGTCGGGCGCGTGCCTGGAGCCTCTGGCGCTCGACGAGCTGATCCCGGACTGGGAGGTGCGCGGCGCGCCGCTCAACACGCCCGTCACCGAGGACAAGTTCGCTCTGCTGACGGCCACCGGCCGGCTGCCGATCCCCATCCTGCCCGGCTTTCCGATGCGCAACCACGGCAACTACGTGGTGCGGCTGGGCCACCTGGTGCGCTGGCTGGGAGAGCAGGCCGAGGAGCTGGGCGTGGACGTATACCCCGGCACGGCTGCCGCCGAGCTGCTCTTCAACGGCGACGGCTCGGTGCGCGGCGTGGCCACCAGCGACCTCGGCGTCGGCAAGGACGGCGCGCCCAAGGTCGGTGGCGCGCGCGTGCGGCGCGGCGGAGGGTTTGTGGGGCGTTTGTTGGGTGTTTTGTCAGGGCCTCTCAGGGGCCACATCATCAGATTGCTTTTTATCTCTGGAGAAAGGCGTGGGGTTTGGGAATGGGCTTTGTTGATCATTCCGCAACATCAAGTATTTTGTGGATGCTCATATGCGCTAACATTGGGTTATATCTACAGAGTTCTTTGGTGCATCTCGTTTACTAGGGAATAAAGTATGTTCCCATTTTCTTAATTACGATTGAATGTCTTCAGGACGGGTTCGGAGGCATCCCGTTCTTCATGCCGCCCATCTCTCTGGCGCCCCTCCCCCTTCCCCCACTCGCCCTGAGCGTCGTGCGGCGGCCGGCAGGACTCGTTCGAGCGCGGCATGGAACTGCACGCCAAGTGCACCATCTTCGCCGAGGGCTGCCACGGCCACCTGGCCAAGCAGCTGATGGCGCGCTACAGCCTGCGCGACGCCGCCCAGCCGCAGACGTACGGCATCGGGCTGAAGGAGCTGTGGGAGGTGTCGCCGGACGTGCACCGGCCCGGACGCGTCGAGCACACCGTCGGCTGGCCGCTGGTGAGCGGCCGCCGCCGCCCGCCGCCGGGGGCGCCTACTGGTGCCGCTACGGCTGGGCCGGCCGCGACGCTGGTGGCGCTGGGTGTTCGGCGAGGGGTGTCGGGCTGCCGTCAGGCGGCGGTAGTGGGGTTGGTTGAGTCAGCTGTTGGATCAAAAGGCTAACGGCTGGTGGCCTGATGCGTGGACGTCGACGAGACGCGCATTTGTCTCCCTCATAAGCTCCAAACAGCATGTTATCGGCGCGTCCTTATGCAGTCTCTCCCTTCGTGTACGTTGGTAGGCCCTGTGCTGACGTGTGTAGGCCTCGAAATCGGACATATTTTACCGCCGCGGCGTCTCCACGCCGCACTGACCGGCCGGCGTCCGCGCGCGCAGGACATCCACACGTACGGCGGCTCGTTCCTGTACCACCTGAAGGACGAGACGCCGTTAGTGGCGATCGGCTTCGTGATCGGGCTCGATTACACCAACCCCTACCTGAGCCCGTTCAGGGAGTTCCAGCGCTTCAAGCACCACCCGTCCATCGCCCGAACGCTCGAGGGCGGCACCAGGTGAGCCTGGCTCCGTCGCCGCGGGGGGGGGGGGGGGGGTAGAGGACGGGTGGCGCACGTCCCCTCAGCTGAGGGGGGGGGGGGCGACCAGGCTGGTGTATAGTTATCGTAAGGAATGCACTCGCGTCAATGCTCAGCCCCGCGCCATTAACACACGGACACCGGTACCTCCTGTTCGCATCTCGCCGTGATCTGATGGCCTGATGCCCACACCGCTGGCCGTCTTAGCCCGCTGACATGGTGACGTGGCCTGTGCCGGCGGCAGGATCGGGTACGGCGCACGCGCCCTGAACGAGGGCGGCCTGCAAAGCGTACCGAAGCTGACGTTCCCCGGCGGCTGCCTGGTCGGCTGCAGCGCCGGCTTCATGAACGTGCCCAAGATCAAGGGCACGCACAACGCCATGAAGAGCGCCATGATCGCTGCGGAGAGCGTGTTCGACGCCATCCAGGCGGGCGACACGGAGACCGAAGGTGAGCCGACGGCGCCGCCGCAGGCGAGTTTGGGAGTAGATTGCGGATCGTGAATCGCAGGCGATATCGAACGGGCTTTGAGCGTGCAGTTTGCGTTGGCAGCGCACGCTCGCTCATGAAGACACCCGCTCACGGCCTGTGAGAAGGTGACCCGGGTCATCCACGCCTAACCTAACCTAACCTAACCTGTTGTCAATGGTTACTGAGGCCTGTTGTACCCTCCCCATTCCCGCACATGTCACGCAACTCTTCACCTGCAGTGGGTCACGCGGCGTCGCAGCGCCGTCCGCCCTCTGACCTGGCGCCACTGTGTGTGCGGCAGGTGTGAACCCGGTCAGTTACGAAGAGCGAATCCGCAGTTCACGGGTCTGGCAGGAGCTGGTGTCGGTCCGCAACGTCAGGCCCTCGTTCCACTCACCGCTCGGCCTGTACGGCGGCCTGGCGTACACTGGACTCTTCTACGTCCTCGGCCGCGGCAAGGAACCGTGGACGCTCAAACACCCCGGTAGGTGGCGCCTGTACGTGGATGGATGGGTGAGTGCCGGGCTGACACGGTATTTTCTGTTAATGAGGCGTATTGGCCAGCCGGCGGTGCGAGAATCACGGGCCGTGCGGCCAGAGCCATCGGTGCTGCCACCGGGAGGGCCCGGCCGGCCGGCGCTCTGTCCGCAGCGCCGATCATCGGGCCGCGGAGGGTGTGGGCGGGTTCGGCCTCGCGCTGCGGCACCCCTCCGGCTGACTCCACCCTGGGCTGCGCAGGCGCCGACTACGCCTTGCTGAAGCCGGCGCAGGAGTGCCAGCAGATCGAGTACCCGAAGCCGGACGGCAAGCTCAGCTTCGATCTGCTCGGCTCGGTGGCTCTGACAGGTGAGGACAGCATGGCCGCCGTATTGGCCCACGCCTTCCCCCTCCCAGCTCTGGTCAAGGCGGTCGGGTTTTACCTGTGGCCCGTCCCGTAACGTGACACGACGTGACGTGACGCGACGCCGCCGGTCGCCAGGCACCAACCACGAGGGTGACCAGCCGCCGCACCTGACGCTGCGAGACGACGCGGTGCCGGTGAAGCAGAACCTGAGCGTGTTCGACGGCCCCGAGGGCCGCTTCTGCCCGGCAGGTGAGGTCAGGGGTGAGCCGTCCCCGCGCTCCAGCGCCGGCCGGTCGACTCATGTAGCGTTGCCGTCCTTGTTTTGTCACATTTGATAGTGGTTTTGTGAGTGCCGTTACCCTATGAGCCCAGAGCAGCACGAGAACAAAATCAGCCAATATCCCAGTCCTTCCCGTTCGGCCACAGAAATCGAATAGCGATGCGCTTTGCGCGCGCGGCCGGCGTGCGGGCGTGGCCTGCTGCACCACTCACGCGCTGAGACCGGGCCGCCTCTCGCCTTCGCAGGCGTGTACGAGTACGTGCCGACCGAGGACGAGCAGGGCCAGCGGCTCCAGATCAACGCCCAGAACTGCATCCACTGCAAGACGTGCGACATCAAAGACCCCAGCCAGAACATCAACTGGGTGACGCCCGAGGGTGGCGGCGGCCCCTCCTACAACGGCATGTGAGCGGCCGTGGCCGCCGGCAGTGCGCGAGGATAGGGCGCGGCTCGGCGCCACCCCTCCATGGCTGGTCTCAAGACGTCCTCGTGTGACGAGGTCGACGGCAGCACCACCGGTCGGGGGCTGTTCGTCTGCGTGAGGAGCAGAGAGCCACCGAGATTTGCGCGTGGGTGCGCCCGCAACAGTTCAAAACGGCCCGAGTATCGCTCACCGTGGGCTGCGTTGTTTACAAGGGCCTGGTAATGGGGGGACCGATACGACCAGTTGTTGCAGATGAGTAACGTCTCCTGAAGATACGATTTCATTTGCTTTCCAATCCAGTATTGGCTTCCAGAGCGCAGGACCTCAGTTCAGTCAAACGATTCTCGTCACTCTGCCAGTCGTAGCGGCCCCAGTCCATAAGTGATAGAGACACATCCTCGGCAGTTTAACTGCTGGTCCAGCTGTGTCCCGGCTGCGCCATCTCTCTGCCCGGTACTTTGTCGTAGACTCGTGCCTGGGGTGGGTGTCCCGCGCGCGACCATCGCCGGGTCGCCGTGGACCGACAAGGCGGTGCAATGCATGTTATGGGATGCTTGGTGGGTGCTTGGTCGTTAGTGGTCCTGTGATAACGAATGGTGTGTTACCAGACAAATATAATGAGACATGGTGTTGGAGCGTTCCGCTCTGCTGGGCGCGTTTCACTTCAGTCTAGCTTTTCAAAAGGAGAGTCTAGAGCACATGAAATGTCGCTATCATCTTCCATAAAAATGAGCATGATAACAGGCGCCAAGGCGACGAAACAATCACGAGTGGTCACATGACTGCAGACGACTCGACACCCGCTGGGCAACAGGTCTACAGTCAAAAGGGGCAGCATACAGTACATGTTCCTCACGTATTCATCTGTCACCTGGCTAATTAGCGCGGTCGACGCGACTCTCGCACACCTCCCATCCAAAGTCAGCGCACATGAAGCCGGACAGACGGCGGACTAGTTGAACCAGGTGGGCACACCGGGCCTGTCTTTGAAGCGTTCCTGGTCCTTCTTGTATGTATCCCTCGCAAGCTCGATCTCCTTCATCTGGTCCGACAGCTCCTTCTGCTTCTCCTCGGGCAGCAGATTCGGAAACTCAAATACCATGTCCTTTGGCTGAAAACAGCAGATACGGTGTACAACCGCTAAGAAATCTGACAACTACCACCACCCCTGGGCTTATCCCAAACCATGCCAGCTTTCCAGCACAGCTGTCCGAAGTGGCATGAAAACGCGGATAATACATGGGGAACAAGCACAAAGGACAATATGGAATGTCAATTAAAAGCAAAACTTCCCACAATATGCATATCTATACAGTGTGAGACACTTGTACACCAGATCTGTTCTGACCAGCCAAGCGCAAGCTCTGCATATGCAAAACACAGACATCACATTAATGTTTCACCTCTTGTGTGCAATGGTACCTCATAATGTGCTTTATTATGCAGTTTAACACATGCCATATTACATTCAGACCGATCATTAACACAATCATGAACAGCTTGAATTACTCCGATAGAAAATGACATTTTTTGCTTTGGTATAATCACCCTAGAACAGAACCAGGCTGACCAGCTGTCATCCAATGGATTGATGACTGCTGGTACTACTCACCAAGGTGACAAAGGCATATTTAATGTCATCATCCTTGACTATGTATCCCTTTCCCTCCAATTTGCGAAATTGACCTGGGGAAAACGATGCCAAATTAGAAACATCACAAACAACATTGGTGTTCCTGCATCACACAATTCACTTTAACACTGCATGAAGGAACCTGACATGCATAAATCAGCTGACAGCTATGATAAATTTCATGAATGGCAGAAGATAATGAAAGCATCTGACACCAAGTTTATAACAGTTTTCAGTGCTCCTTAACCATTGGTTCAATGCAGGAGTGCTAATGATGGGAAATCATCAGCCACTTAACTTCAGCTACCACTTTCCATACCTAGTCTGTTAGAGATGCTGACTTGGACCACAGGTACATTGTATATCTTCTCCAGGTATTGCTTGACATCAAGTTTGGTCATCTCAGGTGACACAATGAACTGAACAGCATTTGATGGGATTTTGTGCTTTGGACGTATCAACTTCATCCAGAAGTTTGGAAGGAATATCCGCAATTGCGGATTACCTCGCTGGTACAGTGGATACAGACGAGTAGACATTTTCTGAAAAGGACATGGTCTTCCTGAACATACTTCTCAGCACATGTGACAGAAACTTCATGCTCATATGTATGCCTGCAGGAGGCTACCTTAACCCCATTGACAGCTGTAGCCTGAGGAAACTAAAGTCACATGGCCAATACTGTCACCAATACTGTATCATGTCCTGGGCACAGCAATACCAAGGAAGCATGGTCACAGCGGCCAGCCTCTCACACACACAGGGCACAGAACGCGGTCAAAGAACAGTTGCACCCATGGCTGAAATGGCTGTACACTGCTGTGATACCTGAATGGGGTTTTGGTACTTATTGGACACATTGTTTGGTGGCAGTGACTAGCAACACATGCACAAGCGATCTCCCCACGGAGAGGCAGACGCAAAGTCGCGCAGGGAGCGGTGGCTGAGGTGGTACGGTGGGCAGCCGGCTCGATAGCCACAATTTCTTGTGGCGCCTGTCTAGGGCAGACAAGGGCAGACAGTTGGGTGTGCTGAGGCTGTGCTGCCAACCGGCTGCGGCCAAGTTCAGTGGTCATGCCCATGTCTGGTTTCTGCCACTGGGGCCGACCAGGTTTCCTGTCCAGGCAGCAAAAAGCCTCTGTAGCTCGAGCAGTCTTCACCAACACCTTCATTGCGACCGGCCCTGAGGTGGCTGATGACTGAAGGTTTCTCCCAGAAACCTTCTTCCACTGCTCTTGTAGAAAACATGCCATGTCTGTGATCTCATGTGATGCCATCTCAAGCTGCACTGGCACCCCAGTGTCAGTGCAACAGTGCTGGCTGTTCCATCTTAGTGTTTTTGTTCAAAGTGATCATGACAAAAGCACAAAGAGGTGCTGGTAATACTGTGACATCACCAGACAGGCATGCAGCATGCAGCAGTGGCATGTGAAGCCTCTCCTGTGGTTTGCACACCAGCTATCTCTTCAGATGGGACATCAAACATCCATATAAGCTGCTCAAGGTCTCCTTGAACCTCAACTGAGTGGCCAGGAGCTGTTCTGCATTGCACAGTGCCTTGATATCATTTTTCATTAAGTGTGCTTAACTTATTCTACATCTTGTAACATGCCTGCTCAAACAATGACATGATGAATAATCCGAGCAAGACCTTCCTATTCTTCATGAAATGTAACCAATTACTAGGTAATAGATACACATTCTGTCTAAAATCATGTGCCCAGTGATGTGATAAAATGCAGAGAGTAGGTTCTGCCCCACCTAGAATTATGAGCACCAAATTTTCTTTTAAACTAGCAATACAATGTCATAATGTATGCTCTGCCTCTAAAATAAAATGCCTGTATGCATGGAAAAGGCATTTACAGGCAGGTAAACCATGAAAAATTGCCACACTTAATCAGCCACCCTTCCTATGCAAAGATGTCCTTCACAGGGTATACCCTTGAAAGGGCAACCAAAATGCTAGCCTTGAAGTCATGATGAGCACAATGTGATGTGTCAGCATTGTGCAGTCTGAGTTCAAACCCATCACATCATTGTTCTCTGATTGTTTGAATTGTTACATGTGCAAGGTATGATGATATATTTTTGTTGTCCTCTGATTATGAAGCGTTTTCTGCTCTAAGGAACACAATCCATGCATGGCATGCTTGCATAGCTTCTAAAGCAGCATGAATCTTTTCATTTTTACACATATCCTGAAAATCCTATAAAAAAAAATTGTTTGAAAAGTTAGTGGAATGAAGCCTGGTATAACTTCCGCGCACACGCACGCGAGGTTCAGCGCAATGATGTCGCGGAGGCGTCCGTCGCCGCCGATACCGCTCTTTGGCACGCTAGCACCACTGAGGCCCCCTCTCTTGAAAACCCACCTGTGGAGTTCCCAGCAGTGTTAAATTTGTGACCTCACGGTCATGCGAATTATAAGTGTTGCCCACTACGGCCTGCGTGAATATATTATTCAATGCTTTGACGCAACGTTCCCAGGCCCATCCCACATCCAAGCAAAGTCCAAGGGAAATACTTTTTCTCGTGCTATACTGTAATGGTCACTTTGGTCGCAAGCCTTTTCAGCATAAACGGCGCATAAGAGACATTTATTGTACTTTTCTTCTTCCATAGTATACCCCATACGGCGGACCGAGGAGGCGCTAGACTGCATGCCACGTCGCGATGCTCGGCGAATGCATAGATGCAGCCAAGTCAGGGGCATGGCTTTGTAAAACGAGTTTGAGCGGGGGTTGAAGGAACTGGCGGTTAACGTGAAGCTCCCTACCCACAAACCACGCCAACAAATGAGCTTGCCTCAGAATTTGTTTTTTTTTAGCCCCGACCATTATTGGGGCGCTAAGGAGCGCCTGTCTGGTTAGAGTCGGAAATTACAGGTTTATCCACGACTGAATACTGCGAACCAGTCCCGAATTAGCCTTCCGTTATCAGTGGTGTATCGTCCGTGAACCTTTCTGCGCTTCTAATGCGCAAAAAGGCCCACGAAAAGTCAAGAATCGGTCCACCGCCTGGACTTTTCAAGAATGCACGGGAAGTTCACGATCGGCTCACCGTCTCGTTTCAAAGCCTGCTTTGTAGCATCCGTCCCCATGCCCATGTACAAATGCTTTGTCACACGAAAATAATCCCAACGGGCAGAGAAAATCCGTGGACAAAACCAAAAACCCGGTAAATCGCGATCCGTAGTGTATTGATGACAATGGGTAGAGAAAGTAGTGCCGGCTGGTACACCGTCGCAGCACCGCATGGGCAGATCTTGGTGCTCCGGAACACACCAAGGTCCGCCCTTCGTCATCGAGGACCACGAGAGGCTGTGGCGGCTGGCTGCTGGGCACCACGGGTCGGAGATGGCACCAACGCACCCACTCATCACGACTCGACAAGCCGTCACGACCTAGGCGGAGCCGGACGGGTTCGGCCGCCTGACAGCTACACCGCCACAGAATACACCAATCCCCACTACGGCGGCGGCGCTTGGAGGAGAAAAGAGCTTTAATCCGATCAAAGCTGAGGAATCACTGGCTGCGACGGACCCGGTGTCAGGCATCGCCAATGAGCGATATCCTCGAACCCGGCGGCGCCCACGGCCCGCACCGGCCGCGGCCACCACGCGGCCACTACGTGATCTTGGGCGGCGGCGGCGGCGCCCCCGGCTCCGACAGCTTGGGCGGCGGCGGCGGCACCGGGTTCATGGGCGGCGGCGGCGCGGGCGGCAGGCCAGGCGGCGCCGGCGGCGGCGGCGGCGGCAGGCCCGGCGGCGCCGGGGGCCGCCCGCTCAGCATCGCTGGCGCTCCGGGCGGTCGGCTGGTCGGCGGCGCTGGCGGTGCCGGTGGTGCCGGCGGTGCTGGCGGCGCCGGCGGAGGCGGCCGCAGGCCTGGCGGTCCACCCGGCGGCGGCGGCAGCATGGGCGGCGGCCCCGGCGGCCGGCCCATCGGCCCGCCGGCGAACGGAGGCGGCGGACGCGGAGGCATGATCGGCGGTCGCGGCGGCGGCGGCGGCGGCAGCACGTGCGGCCGCGGCGGTGGCGGGATGGTGGGCGGCGGGCCCGGCGGCCGCACCGGCTTCGGCTCCATCTTGTAGGCGAACTGCAGGAAGAATTGCTTGGTGTCCTTGTTCCAGAGAGTCCAGAACTTCTCCTCGCTTTTCTCCACCTCGCGGCTGGGAACCTGTCCAGACGGAGATGAACTGATCAGGAAACGACCACACAACCCTGATACTCCTGCATTATGAAGCAGAACGCACGCAACGGACACAACGCGACGATGCTCACTTGCATGCAAGGCCGCCTTTGGAATGATCATGAAGACATATGTCATATATTATGGAACATATATTTTATTTCACACTGCATCCATATCATCAGCTTCCCAGCTCAACAGATGCGCCTTTTTGCTATCCCTTACAACCACGTCAAATTGTGTCAAGTGTTACAGTGGACGGCATACGGCCGGGAACAAAACAATTCTCCTTTTCAATTCGAAGGACGGGTGCGTAGGCATGAAATGCACAAGCCATTCAAGCGCCGGACTGTGAGACAGCGATCGTTCACATCGTACCACGACTAGAACCGGACGACAATCCCGACATACCTCCCCCCCCCCCCCCACACTCCGCCTCAGGCGAACCGCCGCAGGGTTGTTAGATGTTGTGATGTTAGACCCACCTTGAAGGCGATCGTCTCGTACGGCTCGGCGGCGAACAGCAGGTACTGCCACTTGCGGTCGGGCGGCTCGATCTTCTGCTCGTAGGCCGACATGAAGCGGTGGCGGGGCACCACGCCGTCGGCTATCTCTGCGGCATGGCGGGACGCGCCGGTCAGCGGACCGCCGCCGGTGACGCGTCGCGCCGCACCACACGGCCACTCAGGCGGACAGGTGCTCGGGACCGGGCACGCCTCGCACGCACGGGACACGCCTCGGGACCGGGCATGCCTCGGGACTGGGCACGCCTCGCACGCACGGGACACGCCTCGGGACCGGGCATGCCTCGGGACTGGGCACGCCTCGGGACTGGGCACGCCTCGCACGCATGGGACACGCCTCGGGACCGGGCATGCCTCGGGACTGGGCACGCCTCGGGACTGGGCACATCTCGGGACCGGGCACGCCTCGGGACAGGACACGTCTCGGGACTGGGCACGCCTCGGGATAGGACACGCCTCGGGACCGGGCACGCCTCGCGACCGAGCACGGCTCGGGACAGGACTCGCCTCGGGACCGGACACGCCTCGGGACCGGGCACGCCTCGGGAGAGGACACGCCTCGGGACCGGGCACGCCTCGGGGGACACGCCTCGGGACTGGGCACGGCTCAGGACTGGGCACGGCTCGGGACACACTTGACGAGGCAAGTCACCAACCGCCCCATCTTAAAGGAATAAGATTCATTTGGAATGCGCTGAAAGTGAGCAACAAACCAGACAACTTCAAAGCCAGTTGATGGTGGATATGTTTAAGAAGCCGCTCGGTGGACGGCATCCAGCGCCTGCTACCACAGTGCACATCGACAGTACTAAATCACAACAACACGGTATGTGGAGAGTGATACGTGGTCATCTGCTTAATTGCTTCTTCACGCGCTTATGGCTCCGGCATTCAATGAATTTGGGTCGTCCAAAGCACCAAGTGAGTCGACAGTGGTAAATCAGAAGGATACGAAATGCGCAGCATATGCGCTTCAATACTGCAATCTTTCCCATGCTTCCGTGGTTGCCACTCAACAAATCCATCACGCGGGGCATTGTGCCTACTTCTACGTCACCCAGGGGCACGGGAAAATACTGCTCTAGAGGTGGTGGGGTGGAGGGGGGGGGGGGCGTACCCCTAGTTGCGCTTGTGATGCTATCTCTTGTTTCTACATCGCGCCAATACTTGCGCTCTTGCGACCGGGACGACCAGCGCCAACCCGCGACGCGCCGCTGACCGTGTTTTGCGTCGCTGAATGCCCAAACAGCATCGCATTTCCAGCGCACCAGCGAAGCGCCCCACTGTGTGGTTGGTGCGCGGGCAGGCGGTTTCGCGCGCACCATATTAGCTCCGCCTGACCGGTTTTTACGCGCCGCTTTCGTCCGTGCTCTCGGCGTAACTACCGGTGCACAGGGCTGGCCCGCACCTCTGACGGCGGCCGGGGTCAGCTCTGCAGATCGAAAGTCCATTGAACAAAGCGCGGGAGCGGCACGATGAGGCAGCCACGCCCCGGCCCGGCCACACCGGCACACAATCGGCAGCACTCACAGCGCAGCAGAGGCCGCGGCATGGCGGTGCACATCAGTGGTCCGTATACGAGTGCAACAAGTTGAGTAGTTTCCGACGCAAAAATGGCCAAATGTCCCGCCTCCTGCTGCCGGACCGAGTCTTGACGACAGGTAACCATCGTGACTTCTAGAATTCGCCACAGCAAAATCAAGATCCATTCTAACACATGAGGAACACGTGAATATTCTGCCCGCTGCTGAAGACCACGCCAACTGACAGTTCTACCGGCCATAAATCCAAACAGCCATCAACCGGCTACGACCTGCTCCAGCGGGCTACAGGTGTCCTCTCTTTTACGAAACCACCGCTGGGCGCGAGAGCTATCCAGGCTCCGAGCGGCCGGCCTGCAGCGGCGGTGTCCATCTCCCGCCGCGCGGTGACGCAACAGCGGCGGACGAGCGGCGAGGAGCCGTCCGGCACGCCGCGTGAGGCGGCCGGACGCGCCGGGGTCAGACGGCCAGCGGCGCACGCCGCGCCGCTCCACCCTCCCTCGCAACCCCCACCAGGACCCTGTCACGCCTCTCACCCCCCCCCCCCCCCCCCCCCCACTTTCACCGCCCTCAGACGCCGCGACGATGGCGGCGCCGCTGCATGCATGCATGCATCCTGGTAGCGCACAAGCAGCGACCGCTGCCGAGCGGGAGCTGAAAAAGCCGGTCATGCCGACAACCGATACAAGCGGAACACTGCCGTGCGGGACAACTACTGGAACACTATTAACATGCTGACGTCACTATAATGCGTGACCACCGCCGGGGACGAGTTTCAAAAGTCGATCATACTGGCAAACCGGTAGCATTCTGGTGCCACTGCACTGCATCACCGCGCGTGTCACTCGGACTGGAATACCAATTCTTTCCACATTAGTGCGTTAATGCCACTGCACTTTTGCACGCGCAACAATCAGTTGCAAAAATCATTACTTGCTTTTTCATGGAGTTGGATTGACGCGACTTTGGGCGGTCGCCAGCTGATGCCAACCATACCAAAATATAGGTGCAAGTATAATACATATCCTCAATTCAATCGTGCCTCTTTTACGGCAATTGACGTAACTTGAACTTATAGAGCAATGCCCGACCGAACCACAAAACACTCAACAACACGGTTCATGTGCAGAGACACAACTGAGCACAACTCGGAGATCACATCCAGTTTCTGCATCCTGCAACCGGCCATAATCCCGGCCCTGCCTGCCAGCTCTCGCAATGCGCCGTGCGCCGGGTCCGCCGGCCCGGGGAACGCACCGAGCGGCCCGC